GCCACATGAAGCACTGGGCTTATTTGTAAAGCTTTTGCTTTGACAAAAAGATTTCTTGAGAAACTGAGATGCAAAACACACCAAACCATCCTTTACATTAACATTGAATATATTATATTGACATTCTAAGTAGCACTTTGGTGTTTAGACCGAGGGGGCAGCGATCATTTATATCGGCAGGCCAACCAACTTCCTCTTGTCCTGAGGGTTTTCCTTTAAATTGTGAGGACTCGCCGCTGGTGAGCCCTGGCACCTGGCCAGCCCAGATACCAGCCCTCTTTCCTTGGGCTCATTCTGAGACTGAAGACAAGCTGCTAAAATTAACAAGGCGTCAAAGTTATTGCAGAAATGCTTCTTCTCAATCTAACCTTTATTATAAAAAACTAATTACTTTTCTTTTAGTAGCAGCATGTCTACTAGTGGCACAGAACAGGAAAGGATTGGAACATCTGTGTATCTCCCATGGAAGCAGAATGTGTGGTGTATTGCTTTATTAGAAAAATTAACAAACAGATTACATGTATTAAATAATACAAATGATGAAGATGATTTTGTTGAACTATGGCACCCTTTTTTAAAATTCTAACCCTGAAGAATGGCAACTACCAATATCACAGATTGGACTTGGGCAACCTTAACTAGATTGATCCATCATGAAGTGGGGAGGGGGGAATGAGTTAGGGTTTTGTTTTTGTATCTTTTTCTCTTTTTTGTAAGTGTGTGTGTGTGTGTCAGTCACATGGGGGAGATGCCTCTTCTCTTTCTTCGTGCACTTGCAGCCACTCTGTGCAATATTAAAGTGGAGGGGGGGATCTGTGACTCTCCAGATGTTGCTAGGAGCCCCAGGCAGCATGACCAAGGGATGACAATAGGAGTTGGAACCCAACCACATCTGCAGGGCCAGAGGTTCCCCATCCCTGCATTAAAGCATACTGTATTTCCTTAAAGAAATGGAAATTCATTCACAGGCTGTAGAGAAATCTAACTCTCACTTTGTAAAGTTATTGGAAAACAGAAGTTGTGCTTTCCAGCACAAGTTTAGATGGATAAACAACCTTACCTTCCAAGGCTGTCTCAAGCTCAATGACTTTTCCATACAGTTGTGTATTGAGCCAATGTGGTGTAGCAGTTAGAGTTTTGGACTAGGCCTAGGAGACCAGGGTTCAAATCTACACTCAGCCATGAAGTTCACTGGGTGATCTTGGGCCACCCACTTCCTCTCAGCCTACCCTACCTCACAGGGTTGCTGTGGGGATTAAATGAGAAGAGGGAGAATTATGTACAACACCTTGAACTCACTAAATAAATAAATAAAATTTGAGGCATCTTTCCATGTATGCACATCTGTATAGAAAGTCAGGTGTATAGTCATTTTAGCCTGCTGAGGCAAATAATTAATATTATATTATAATACTATATTATATTAATCTTTTTAAAGTATTATTTTATAGTTTTGTTGTTTGCTGTCCTGGGCTCCTTGGTGATGAAGGGTGAGATAAGCATTGCAATGATATTAATGATAATATCAACAAAGAAGTTCATGGCACCTTAAATATTAGCAAACATATTGTGGCATATGCTTACATGGGCCAGAACCCACCTTGTCAGATGCATAGTCAAGCAAGGAAGCTTCAGTTGCCATGATTGTGCTGGAACTGGAACAGGAAGTATAGGTTTCCTCTTTCACTAACTGCATCTCTCTGAAGAGGGTGATAGAAGAAACTTTCCTTCCACTTGCTCCTCATGTGCACACAATGCTGGCTGACAGAATATAGAGTTCTCTCTTGCTAAGATGTGAGTCTTCTAGTAAAACTTGGCAGTGCATGACTGACGATTTCTTGAATGGCTTCGAAACTAAGCTGCTGACAGCAGAAAGAGAATGGGAGGAGGAGATTTGTGCTATCCTGAAATCCAGATCACTGAATATCAAAACAGCTATTAAGTGACAGGGGAGGAAAGGGTTCAAAGACATTTCTCTTGGGGCCGCTGAAATACTTTGAGAATCAGCTCTTTGGTGGCCTTAAAAAAAGGTAAGCTCACATGTGAGAGAGAATAGAAAAAAATAATGCAAAACAGCTGATTCAAGACTGGCACGTCTTCTGTGCAGCTCTAATGCAATGTATATTGTGTCCACAGTCTTTTTTCCACCTTCCATTGCTTTCAGATTAAAAGAATCTTAGGTAAGCAGAAGTCAAATACACGTGATTTGCTACTCTCCCTTCAAAGTGGTTGAATCACAACTATTTGTCTAATCCTATTGTGATTCTGATATAGTCAAATATGCACTGCATATCAGCTATTTTGGGCTGATTCCCTAACTGGCTCTGACTGCTGTGTAATAACCTTGCTATTTGCACATTCCTTTAAAAAACACACACCATTTTTGCAGGGCACTGTAGATTACTGTGACATACAAGCAACGGGTAATCCTGTAATGTAAGGGGTTTTTCCTGAACACTTCAGCACTGAATGTGCAAGGTTGTGACTGCCTACTTTCATGGTTGTAAATGTACAGCATGCACTGCAAATATTTGAATCTCTTAAATACAGACGTGGGTAGCTTTATTTTGATCAGTAAGCAGCAGTGGTCCTGTACTTATTAAGGTCCTGTTCCTTTAAATGTGGCTTTAACTGGGTCTGGCATTTCTGTTGTCCTCTGATATCGGCTGAAAACCTACAGAATATTTATTCTGGGCAGGGGTGGGGGGCGAGTTCTGGTGTGCAGAAGGAACTGGCAAGTCTGTTCTCATCCCAGTATACTTCTGTCATTTTGCCGTCTCACTAGACAAAACAGGAACTTGAATAATATGAATCATAATTACATTGACTTTCAATTCTGAAAAATTAATGTAAATGCACACAGCAGGCAAATACAAAAATGAATTACTTGGGTGTCAGAAAGTGCTGTCCAGTGCTTTTTTCCCCTTTTGTTGTTTAAAATTAAGCTGTTTCAAATTCAGCGAATGCTATCATTTATTTTTAACCACCTTGGATATTGTGAAATATCTTGGGCACCCTTACAAGGCTGAAAGTCAGAGCTAAGAACCTAAGACGAGCCCTGCTGGATCAAGCCAAAGACCTGTCTAGCCCATTCCTATCAGTCTCACCTTGTTCAGTCCTATTGGGTCCACTCCTATTTAGTAATATCCTGTTTTCCATAGGAGGCAGCCAGACCTTTGGGAAGCCTCTGGGAAGCCCAGAAGCAGAACCTGGGCAAAATAGCCCTTCCCTGCTGTTGTTCCCCAGTGAGTGGAGTAGGAGATATTTATATTTATTCATTATTATTTTAACACTAGGTGAGCAGAATGTTGTTGTGTTCATGTCCCACTTGCAGGCTTCCCGTTGGCATCTGGTTGACCACCCTGTGAGAACAAGATGCTGGACTACATGGGCCCTGACCTGCTTCAGCTGACTCTTCTTACGTTCTTAATTTTCTTTAAGTGCCACCAGCTCATACAATATAACATGGCAGTGTACAGCAGTAGGTACAATAATGGGACCAGTGACACCCAATGCCCAACTTCTAGCAGAGGCCAATTAGGGGAGAACGAACAGCGCTCTCCGTGGTTGGGCTGTGATAGAAGAACTCAGGTCATTCTTAAGCTCAGGGTGATATGCAAGGCACATCAGGAGGCACATCAGACTGAGAAGGGGCAATTAGCACCAGTCATCCAGGGGCTTTCGCAGCTGAGTAGCTATTTGAAGCTGCATCACCTCAATCCTGGTACCTGAGACACTCCAAAGCATTACACCATGCTGGCTTATTACACCATGCTCACTACAGATGCTCATTCAACTTATCTGCCTCCTTAAATTCTGTTACACTTGGTAAAGGCATCTGGTATAGTAAAAGTAAAGGAAGGTACACCATGCTAACAAAAAGACTTTTTGCCAGGAGGCAAAGAAGCAACATTTGCACACAAAATATGTAAGTGGCAACAGCTTCTCTTAGCATTTTCTCTGTGGTGTGGCAAGGTATTTCCATAAGAACATACAGGGAATCCTTCTGGATCAGGCCAGTGCCCATCTAGCCCTGCATCCTGTTCTCACAGGGGCCACCCAGATATCTGCCCACAGGAAGCCCACAAGCAGGACCTGAGCAAAAAAACCCACAAAAACAAAACCCACCCTCCCCACTTGGGATTCCCAGAATTGGGTATTCAGAGACATAGCATAGCCGTCACAGCTAGCTGCTTTCCTTTGTGACTGACCAACTGGTTGCTGCATAAAAAGCAGGTTGTCTTCTTCGTACACAAGCACCATTCAGACTCTACAGGACAGAACTGTTCCTTCCTTCAATGTTTCTTCCTTGGGTCCTCACCCACTCACTGAAAATGTTCATTGCATGAGATGCACAAAAAGCCCTGCATATCCCATCAGAAGAGTGAGATAGCTTTGCGTAACACTCCATACATTTATCCTCATAGCCAAACTACAGGCAAGTCCATCCTTGGACAAAGACAGTTTTCAGGGAAACTGTAGCATGAAATCTTTGAATTGCAATTAATTGGGCAATTCAATTCTAGAACCTTCAAGTGCTCTGGCAACTGCATAAACTAACATCCACTGCCTAATGGCCAAAGGAGCCATGACATAGGACTGGGCTTTCTATGTGATGATTTCTCTCTGGGAACTCTCTCTCTCTGGGAAAGCATATGTTCATTCCAGTTCTCCACATTTCCACATCAGTTTACACTTTTCTTTTTAAAGTCCTCACGAAGATTCATTAGCATGTTGGTGCAAATTTATACTAATTGCATATTTGTATGCAATTCTGAGCAATAAACATATTTTTGCAAAGCAATTTCCCTTAAAATAATGCATTTTTGTATGTTATTGTCACCTAAAACAATACATTTTTATGAACACTTTACTCCAGTTTATGCATTTTTGTATGTGTCACTCAGCTGGAGAACTGCATTGCAAAATTCAGAGAAGATTAAGTTCCAAAGGTGGGCTGCATTTTTATTCCTGTACTATTTTGAAAATGCAAGTGAGGTACTTTGAGAACAGGACATAGCTCTGTGGTGAAGCATTTGCTTTGCGTGCAGAAAGTCCTAGGTTCAATCCCCAGCATCTTAAAGTAGCGCTGGGAGACGCTCCCTGACTGATAATCCTGGAGAGCTGCTGCCAGTTGGTGCAGACACTACTGAGCTAGATGGGCCCAATGGTTTGACTCAGCATTTGGCAACCTCCTCTGCTCCTAGGTAGTTTGCCTTTAAATGCAAACTGAATCTAATTTCTCCCCCAGCACCAGCTGAAACAGAATTAACATGACTACGTCTCTAGAATCTATTATTTCATTTTTCTCTATCAACCTCCAAATTCCAAACATCCACTGAAGTGGGAAACAGTCCCTGGTTATCACACACTGTTGATCTGAGTACCACCCCACCCCACCCATAGAGTTCTCCTGCGAATGGGACAGTTGAAAAAGTAGAGTGCTGGTGCAGAGAGATGGTCATAGGAAATCTTACTGGATAACTTTGGTGCACTGTATGCATTTCTAGATCATGGTCTTTATTTCTGTATTACTTCCTTTTGTGCTTGTGGTGGGGAATCTCAGACCCTTAGAAAGAGAATATAGTAATCAGAAGGTGCATTATACAGACAAGGGTCATTGTCCCATAGAGCTCATTGGGTGTTTCTATGCACTGGCTGATAGCAGCTGTCTGGGGCTTCAGGTGGGGGTCTAGTCCTACCTGGAAAAGCTGGAGATTGAATCTGGGACGGTCAGGATGCAAAGCAGCTGCTCTGCCACTGAGCTGAACAGCCTTAGACTTAAGAGGGAGGAGAAGAATGGTAGTACAAAGCCTTGTTGCATTCAGGGTCACACAGAAAAATTTTCTTGCCTAATTGAAATGTTATTAATTTAAGAGAAGATATGTTAACAGTTATTAAACCTCACCTTTAATAAAGCATTTAAAAGAACAAAAAATAAGAGTAATGGGGAAATACAAGTGGAATATAATGCTTTGCTGCTTTAGCATCAAGCACTCTGGAGTAACTAGTTTACGGATCAAGTTGTAAAACTTTATGATGAGCAAGGAAAAGGGTCTATTATTTCTCTCTTGTTCCCCTAGAGATTCCATTTAGAGATTCGTGAAGAGGAATGGAGTTTATTTACATCTTAGCAATTCACCATCTGAAGAAAACATTAACAATACCAAATACACACATGCACACAGAAGAGAAAATGTCATCTTTTACAAATAAAAAACCCTGAGAAACAAAAAAGATATAAATTATTCCCATGGCGAAAGCTTACCGTATATAGTCAGAATGTCATAGGCATAGTCAGCCATATTCATTTTTCTACTTCGTTTTTATTCCATTTTCCCCTTTGTAAATTGTTTAAAGGAATAAATAAAACAAACCCCAAAAAGAGCAATTCAAACTATAGATCAGTAGCAAATCCTACACTTCCGTTTGTCACTATCTTAGCATGCTAGATCTTTTGGATTATTGAAGCACAATAATAATTCCAATTCTGTTGTTTTAGGGACTCCACTCTGGATTTGTATAGGGTTTGTTCCTTAGCCTTCTCTTCTCCCAAAGATGTCCTGAAAGGCAGCTACCAACTTGGATGACTGTAAAAGAGAGTTAGACAAAATTGTGGAGGAAAAGGCTATCAGTGGCTATGTTCTGTTTCCAGTATCAGAGGTGGTGCACCCCTGAGGACCAGTTTCTGGAGAACACCAGAGGGGAGAGTGTTTTGGTGCTCATGTCCTGCTTTCAGGCTTCCCATAAGTGTCCAGTTGGCCACTGTGAGAACATAGTGCTGGACCAGCACAGCATGGTTATGCCTTGTAAGGGTCTCCTGTGGAGTGAGGACATTACCAAAGGCTTGATCCAGTTCAAGAAGGATGCCTGAGCAACACTGGATCCCCTGCCCTGCTGCTTCCTTTCTTCCAGCCCAGAGGGAGCTGATACTCTTTCATATTTACAAGCATTTCTTTTGCACTGCCCTCCTGTCCCAAAGGGCACCCCTCTCCACTGGCAAACCATTTTTTCCCCTTGGGTAGGATGGGAAGCTATGGGGAGGGAAGGGGGTCAGGGCAATGGCAGAACCAGGTGTCCATCTGGCATAGTATTGTCTACACTGGCTCCCAGTCAATTTCCCAGCCATACCCAAAGATGCTGCGGACTGAACCTGGGATCCTCTGCACGCAAAGCAGATGTTCTGCCACTGAGCTATGGTCCTTCCTCTGTTAAATATGTTAGGAAGCAGGAAGCAGGAAGCGTTAATCTTTCTTTTAACTGTAGCCAATCTATCGTGTAGAATTTACAGCTGGTCAAACTTCTGCATCTTAAAATAAATAAATCCTAGGCTTTTTTTACCTTCCTTCTCTCTTTTACTTGCCACTTTTCCAGTGCTTAAACCTGTAATAGCTTTTCAATTAAATAAAACTGAATTTCAAAAATGCACAAACCCATTACTTACCTTTGGTCTCCGTTTAAAATTACCCCCCTCCCCCGCCTCCACACACACCTCTACTATCTTAATTTAATTCAAAAATATTATACCTTTCTCTAAGCATTCTGGGATTAAATAGTTAGGTCACAATTTCATGATGACTAGCTGATTATAATTTCATCATATAATTAGCAGTGGCAATTAGAATGCTTCAAAATGATGTTTAATTGAGTAGTACATGTTACAAAATTACCAAAGGCTTCATTATAGGTAATATGGGCCAAGGAAACAGGTGGTAGCCCAGAAGTGAACTTCAATGATATCAAAACCTTTTGAAAAGCATTATTAATATCATTTAGATAGCAGGCCGATGAACACAGACCAGGAGTAAGTCCTACTGAACTCAGCGGAGTTCACATCTAAGTAAACATGTATAAGGATTGCACTGCCTGAGGTACAAAAATACTGGAATCCTTATACATGTTTACTTAGATGTGAACTCCTGCAGTCGGAAGCAGTGTCCGGGTGGAAATCGCTAAAAATGTCTGGGAAAATCCGGATGTATGGCAATCCATGTCAGCTCAACAACTTTTCTGTCCAGATTTTCACTGTTTGAAAAATGGCAACCCTAACATTGGATGTGCTAATGCTGTTGCTGCTCTGATCTCTAAAGAAATATGCATGCTTTACTGTGAAATCTGAGAAGAAATATATGCAGAAGAGAACAGATAATGTTATACACTGTATGACTTTTAAAGAAGCTGAATAGAAGCTTGGCAAGTCATCTACAAGTGATGGGATTTTTAAGAGCTTAAAGATAAGTACTCTTAGAGTGTCAAAATAGTGCATTCAACAGTAGGAGCTTGATGCATGTCATTTATCCTCTGCTAGGCTTATTCCTGGTTATTCCTCCTCCGTTCTTCCATACTGATTTTGTACACAAACTGCCCTGTCAACTCCTACATTTGGAAGCAACAGAAAGCAGTAATGTTAGCACCTACCTGAATCTTTAATCACTCTTTGGGCTCTCAAATTTCAGACCCAGCCAATGGCTAGGAATGATGGGAGATGTCATGTGAAACAGTCCCATGCAAGCTTATGCTGCTGTTGGCAATGTACTGCATAATCCATACAGCGTTCTGATAGCAGAAGCGTTATTGAAACCCATGTTGTTTATCCAGCCTTTCAAGTAAAGGTAAAGGGACCCCTGACCATTAGGGCCGGTCGCGGACGACTCTGGGGTTGCGGCGCCCATCTTGCTTTACTGGCCAAGGGAGCCGGCATACAGCTTCCGGGTCATGTGGCCAGCATGACAAAGCCGTTTCTGGCGAACCAGAGCAGTGCACAGAAATGCTGTTTACCTTCCCGCCGGAGTGGTACCTATTTATCTACTTGCACTTTGACATGCTTTTGAACTGCTAGGTGGGCAGGAGCAGGGACTGAGCAATAGGAGCTCACCCTGCTGCGGGGATTCAAACCGCGGACCTTCTGATTGGCAAGCCCTAGGCTCAGTGGTTTATTTCCACATAAATTGCACAAACATACTTCTGTCAGTCTAACTTTTATAAAGCACTTCTGTCGAGTCCCCTAAAAATATTTCTTTATCAACACAGGTGACCAGGCAAAGGACTGTTTTCAAGCCTAGGTAACCTCCTACCAATTCAGTGAAGGCCCCAAACATTTTTACATTTTGACTGTTTAATATGACAGTCCTATACTTTTACATGCAGAAGTAAGCTCCACTGAGTTTTGTGAGATTTACTGAGGTGTGTACAGACCTCAGTCCTAAACCCTCTTGTTTGGTATTTAGGCTGTGTACACATAGCAGTTTAAAGTGGACTCAATACATGCCACATGTGCCTGTTTTCTGCATCAACCATGTGACATTGTCTTCATTCAGGCAGAGGGAGTCTGCCCTGTTTTGCTGCCTGAGGTAAAATGGGAACATGCTGCCCTACCCTGCTGCCAAAGCCTCCCTTACCTGGGTTGCAGAGCGGGACCCACAAAGCAGTAGAAACAATGGCAGGTTCCAGCCAAATCTTGTGAGATCTCACCAGAAACTGGTGCTGCTGCCAGCACGACTTCTCTGCCAGTGTCGGAGAGAGTGGGGTGGGCATGGCACCCACACAGCACTGCCTCTTGGGCTTGCACCCCCAATGCAGCTGCCTCACCCGGCCTCATGAGTGGGCCAGCCCTGCACTTGAGTGACAGCCTGACCTCCCTCTCCTTTCATTTGAATTTTCCTCATCTGCAGACAATACAGTAAGGAAAATAAAATCCAGCACAAAATGGCATGTTAATAAGAAGCGGACACGGAGAAGCGGACATGGAGCAATGGATCCAAACTTCAAGAAAGAAGATTCCACCTAAACATTAGGAAGAACTTCCTGACAGTAAGAGCTGTTCGACAGTGGAATTTGCTGCCAAGGAGTGTGGTGGAGTCTCCTTCTTTGGAGGTCTTTAAGCAGAGGCTTGACAACCATATGTCAGGAGTGCTCTGATGGTGTTTCCTGCTTGCCAGGGGGTTGGACTCGATGGCCCTTGTGGTCTCTTCCAACTCTATGATTCTATGATTCTATGATTCTATGATAAACTGGGCATATTGAAGCACATTGTGTGGGCAGGTTGTTTTTCCTACACATGGGTGCCATCTATCACTGTGCCCTGAC